AAAAGAAATTCAACCAAAAAATTTTCTTATTAAGATAAGGAGATTCTGACTATTTGACTTTGGACACTGTATTAGTCAAGGTACTTTAGAGAAACAAATCCACAGCAACTCATGTATAAGAGAGAGTTTTATGTAAAGACAGTGCATCACAAAAACATCCCAACCCAATGCTGCCCAAGCCCACAAGTCCAACATTAACTCATTAACCCAACACCAGTCCACAAAGTCCTCCACCTCACAAAACAGAGGCAATGATGCCGACTGCAGGAGGAAAGCTGAGTCAGTGAACGAATAAGCATCTCAGCACTAGCAGGGGTCTCCACACGGCTGCTCCAGCACCCAGGGCTGCATTGGGATAGGTCCATGTGGCTTCTCCTTGGGGATGTCTTGTAGGAAGTCAATCTTGCAAAGTGAAGCAGGGAACTGCTAAGGCAGCTGCACCCTGGTGTGACCATCACAAAGCAAGAGACCCGAGAACTAGAAAGGCGAGGCTCACCACCCTTTTATCCCTCCGCCTTTCAATTAGCCCCACATGTTATTATCGGCCAGGTTGGCACAATTAACTAACTCAGACACCTTATCAGCTAAGACCAATTGCTAGAAAAGAACATCATACTAATATATATATTAGCCAGTCCATTGCCATCAAGTCAATTCCTATGTAGCATCCTGATGTAGGGTGCAGGAGAAATGAATTATTTAATGTCTCTTCTAGCCAAATTCTTTGCAATTCCCCCCAGATAACCTTTTCCTGCACCACTCTGGGTAAGAAGGTGGGGAAACACTGATCGGATTTACCTGTGAGTAACTGTGAAGCGGCTTCCTTGCATCGCCATCCTGCTGGATATAAAATGAGCCCTCTGAGAAGGAGGAGGAGGGAAACTACCAGCAAAAACCAGAATGGAGCACGTCCTGTGGGACATGAGATCTGGCACAAAGAATCTCCTGGATCCAGAGGACAGCTGTGACATCAGGGGACCCACAGTAGAACCAGAAGCTAGTGCATGAAACAGACGAGGGCACTTCTCAGCTCACAGTAAGTAAAGATGCATGCTTTGGGGCAGAAAACTGACTTGCGGAATGGGATACTTCCGTGGCACTTAATTGGGGAAGCTGAGCTTGCTGGCCCGTGTGGGTGGAGCTGAGTGCCTTTGGGTTGTTTCCTAGAATGGGGTCCCTCTGGGCACTTAATTCTGGGACCTGGGTTCACTGACCCCGGAGCTTGAGCTAGATGCCTTCATTGAGGCTTGCAGCAGACTGGCATGCCCTTTTGAACCTTTCTTAGCAGACCTGAAAGAACTTTGGGCAACAATTGTATTCTGAGTATTTCTTTTCTTTTAATAGTTTTATTAGGGGCTCATACGACTCTTATCACAATCCATACATACATCGATTGTGTAAAGCACATTTGTTCATTCATTGCCCTCGTCATTCTCAAAACATTTCCTCTCCACTTAAGCCCCTGGCATCAGGTCCTCATTTTTCCCCTCCCCCCGGCTTTCCCCTCCCTCATGAGCCCTTGATAATTTATAAATTATTATTTTGTCATATCTTGCCCTGTCCGACGTCTCCCTTCACCCACTTTTGTAACCTGTTAATTTCCTTAATAAATCCTATAATCATACTGTAGCTATTATAATAAATTACAGACCTAGGTGGAAAAGTAGAGAATACTCTTTGAGACAGAATACATGGGGTTTCCAAGCTGTAAACCTTTAAGGGGACAGATAGCCTCAACTTTCTCCCCTGGAGCAGCTGGTGCATTTGAACCACCAGTCTAGTGGTTCAACAGCACCATCAGAGCTCCTGCTAATGTTTTTACAATGAAACTAATTCCTCTGAATATGAGAAATACAAATCAGTAACATGTAGATTGCATATTTAACAAGATGTAATATATATGTAATATCTAATAATTATTAGATATTAAAGAATAAAATATTAAATCTACATTGCATGTACTTTATTTTTCTTATAGGATTGTGTTTAGTTCTAAAACTGGCATATCCAAAAGTCAGATGATAGCAGAAGGTCTTTCTCACTGATTACTTTCAGAAAATTTCTCTCTATGAATAAGATTAATAAATTCTCTCATTTGGCACAAGAGACCATTGAGGGATTTCCAACATTCATTCACTACATATGTAGGGTTTCTTTCTAATATGAATTCTTGGGTGTATAGTAAGTACAAACTATTACTAAAGGATTTCCTATATTCATTACATTCATGAGGCTTCTTCCCAGTACAAGTTCCTAGATATTTAAATTTATGCTTCAAAGAAAAAGTGTTCCACATTATTTGTATGCAAAGAATTTTTCATTAGAATAAGCTCTCTGGTGCTGCATGAAGGGTGTTTTTACATTTCTCACATGGATAGAGTTTCTCCTCATTACTTTTTTCTCCCCATTATTCTCTAATATCAACTAAGATATGTACTCTACATAAAATTTTTTCCACATCCCATAAATTCAGATTTGTCTCCATTTAAAACATTCTGTTGTTCAATGATATATAATTACTTGGGAATTGTTTGAAAGTCATAGCTTTTCTCTATAATGTGAGTTCTGATATGTGCATTAAGTTTTGCATTTCTAATGAAGACTTTCTCACACTGATTACATTTATATGGTGTTTTTTTCTCAGTAAGAACTCTGGTGTATTATTAAGGTTTCCGTTCCTACTGAAAGCTTTGCCACTTGAAATCTCAACATTTAATTAAACCTGCATTTGAATGGAAGACTTTCACACATTCTTTATACCCATAAGGATTTTCCCCGGAGTGTTTTCTATATTAAGCCTGCTTTTGTAGATATTCCAACATTCTATACAAGTATAAGGTCTCTCCCCAGTAGGAGTTCGCCGATGTAGCATGAAAGTTTCACTCTTGGAAAAGCTTTTCCACACTCCTTACAAATATAGTATTTCTCTGCAGTATGAATTCTCTGGTGCCAAATAAGGTACATCCTTCAGCTATAAACTCTTTCTCACATTTTACACATGCATAAGCTCTCTCTCTAGAAAAAACATTCTGGTATTCATTGACATGTGATTTCTTAGTGTTCTCTCTCACAGTCATTGAATCTCTCCTCAATGGACCCTCTGATGTATAGTAAGGTTTGAATTTCTAAAAAATGCTATAACTTGTTACATTTGAATGTCTTAGCCCTAGTATGAGCTCTCTATAATATGGTAAGGTTCTTATTCTAACAAATTTTTGCCACATTTATCACATGCAATAGGGTTTCTATTTGTAATGGTTCTGATGGTTGGACTTTGCACTCCAACTGGAGGCCGTCTCACGTTCTGTACATTGTTAGGATTTACCCTGAGTATCTTTTCTCACTTCTTGGTTTGAAAAGACTTGGATTCTTTTTGAAGTCATCTATATATATATATAGTCTCCCCAGAATAAATTGCACACACACACATGCAGGCTTTTCCCCCAATGTCAATGACCTAAGTGCGCATAAGCTAAGAAATGCATTGTGATATTTTCCCGTTATTATGTTCATTATGTTTCTTCCACGTATGAGTTCTTCCCTGTATGCAAGTTGAAATTGTTTTTTCATATATAATACAGATGCAAAACTTCTCAGTATAAATTTTCTGGTCTAGCATTGAAAGCTTTACCACATTGTATATTCACATCTTTTTCTATTAATTGTATAATATGAATAAGATTTAAGTATTTCATACTTCCTTACATATATACAGTGTTTCTCCCATATAGAGCCTCTTGTGTCCTACAGGCCTGAGATTAGGCTAAAGATTTTCCTTTTTGTAATATTTTTGGTGGTTGGTTTTTTTTTCACAATTCAGCTGATTAAATAAAGACTTCAATGTAAAGCACTCTGCACTGCTTACATTTATGAAATGTTTTTTGTAGTAGGTATTCTTTGGTATTAAGGTCAAGTTTATAATTCCTTTAGATTTATTATTTTCATTTCCTTTTTTCTAATTAAATGTGTTCTTAGGCTTCAATGAAATACAATTCTGGGTTTCTAATTGTTCATCTTATCTTTTGAGTTCTTTCAATGAAAAATAGCATAGCAGTTCCTGTCCCTTCTTTTGTCTATCCTTGCTTGACCTTGCAGCTAGCAGCCCAATGGGTAACCATTACACAGCCCACAGGGGTAAAACAGTAGCAGCTCTGAGACTATCAGGAGCCCTGGTGGAGTGATTATAGTGGTTACTTGCTGGGCTACAAACCAAAACATCAGCAGTTCCAACCACCAACCAGCCCCATAGGAGAAAGAGGATCTACTTCCATAAATAGTTTTAGAAACTCAAACAGTTGCGGTTCTACCTTGTCTTATAGGGTCTCTGTAGCCATAATCAACTTGATGGCAGTATTCTGTTCTGAAGTCATCTTCCCCTCTTAAGCTTTATAGCCTCAGAAACTCTATATGGGGTGCCGAGTCACAATGAACAAGACAGTGGGTTTGCTTTGGTTATGGTATGGTTCATTGGAAGAAGCCTTAGTAGTGGTGACTAATCAACCACTAATTGAAAGATGTGGGTTAGAGCCCACTAGACGCTCCAGCAAAGAGGTGGCTGTCTGTTTCTTTAAAACTAGTGTTTCTGTATCACCTTAGAACCCCCAGGAAGCAAGTCTAGAGTAGGAATCAGCTAGACAGCAGTTGAGTTTTGGGTTTTCCTTAAACATGTTATGCAGCCATTTATTCAATATAGAAAGCCAAGATGCTCCATCTGCACTGAGTTACTGAGAAGTCATTTTACCCAGAGAAAGAACTTTCTTAGTTCTCTAGCATCACATCCTTATACAAGGCCTTTTGTGGAAGATTCAGTTGTTTCTACTCCTTTTAGGTAAAGTTCATAGCTACATCCTTGAATGTCTCCTAGTACTATTTTTCAAACTATTGTTACGGAGTATCCCAACTCCTGATACAAGGATAAAGGATTTAAAATTTAACATATTTCGTTATGATTCTAATTATTTCAAAAATATAGTCTGCTCAAATAGCTAATTTTCAGGGCTACAGGTCTCTAAATCTTCAGGAAAATACCTTTCATTGATATTATTTCTCAAATGAGTCAATTTTTCCCCTTCTCTTGGGCAGTGATATCCAAATACTGTGTGTCAGTAGTCAGGCTTTGTATTCCTATTGGCTCTACCCCATTTTTCATATTGGCCAAATTGTCTCCTTACATTATTTGATTGATGGTTTATTGTTTCATGTAGCTGAATTCAATACAACTTTGTTCTGACATTAATCAAATTCTATTGCTTGGATCTCATCGTGTACCAGCAATTTCCTAGTATTTACTCCTGTCAATGTTCTTCCAACCTTTCCCCATTTTCCATAGCTTCAGGAAGTAATATTCTGCCTCCAGTTATTTTGTGTGAACCTAGGAGGACATAAAACCTGGGTTCAGGGGGTGAAATGCAGTTGTTTCAAAGTGCAACAACCTTAAAACAAGTTGGTTTCAGCATTTTCTGGCTGACATCAAATATCTAAAGTATTTTAAGATATTAACTATCAGGTGGACTTTTTAAAAATGAGCAATTGAATTCTACAGGCAATCCAGTTAATTATCCCACTTGAAACAATAAAGTTGTCTATCAGCTTGGGTTTCAAATTCTTTGTGTTTTCCACTTTTTCTGTGCATCCTATACTTTGAGGGAGTCAAGAGATGCTGTCTCAGAGATGGCTAGCCAATTTCAATTCACACCAAATTTTAAGAAAATGTTTTAATGCAGAGTTGAACATGAGTTCCTGCACATTCAAATGCAGAGGAAAGAAAAAAACCCTAGAATAACATTTTCTCCTTTAATCTTTTATAAATTTTGATTATACATTATATTGATTGTAAAAACAAGTATACTTTAAATATAGAGGAATCCTAAGGATCACTTCTTAAAGCTAAAGATTTATTGGATTTACTTAGGTTAATGCTGCAGGACTTCTTTCCCAGCAGCATTTATCTGGCATAAAGATTGAGTCTTGACTAAACGAACTCAATAAAACTAAGTTTTCTCTACTGCGATTATTATCAAGAGATGGATTTCTCTTTAATTTCTTATAATATTCATGGTATTTAGGAGGTTTCTCTCCTGTGTGGACTCTTTGATGTATTCGTAGAGCTGAGCTATGACTGAAACCCTTCCCACATTCCACACACTGGTAAGGCTTTTCTCCTGTGTGGACTCTCTGATGAATGAGAAGATTGGAACTGTGACTAAAGCCTTTCCCACACTCCTCACATGTATAGGGCCTTTCTCCCGTGTGGACTCTCTGATGAATGAGAAGATGTGAACGCTGACTGAATCCCCTGCCGCACTCTGCACATTTATAGGGTTTCTCTCCCGTGTGTACTCTTTGATGCGTGTGAAGCTTTGAACTCTTACTGAAGCCCTTCCCACATTCATGACAGATATAAGGTTTTTCCCCTGTGTGAACCCTCTGATGAATGCGGAGATCGGAGCTGTGACTGAAGTCCTTTCCACAGTCATTACATTTATATGGTTTCTCGCCAGTATGCACTCTCTGATGAATCTGAAGATTTGAACGCTGGGTAAAACCCTTACCACAGTCATCACATTTGTAAGACCTCTCTCCTGTGTGAACCAACTGGTGTATTCGAAGATTTGAGCTCTGACTGAAGCCCTTACCGCACTCATCACACTTATATGGTTTCTCTCCTGTGTGGACTCTCTGATGAACATGAAGTACTGAACTCTGACTAAAACTCTTACCACACTGATTGCACTTAAAAGGTTTGTCCGCTATGTGAAGTCTTTGGTGAATGTGAAGTAACGAGTTTCTACTGAAGTCCTTATCCCATTCAGATTTATGGAGTGTCTCTGCTGTGTGGACTCTTTGATGACTATGAAAACTAGCGATCTGATGGAAGCTCTGACCACATGCATTACATATATAAGGTATTGTGGGGGCTGTGTGATTAAAGTGAACACCTGAGTTCTGCCTAAAGTGACTATTAACTTCATCACATCCACACAGATGTTTGCCTATGTGGATTCTTGGCTGTCTATACAGATCGGATCTCTGGGGGAAGCGTGCTGTCCTGATAGAACATTGATAGAGCTTTTCTTCAAATGGTTTTCTCTTGCAGAGAACATACTCTGAGTTCCAGTAATACATGTCTTTACATTTACTACACCCACAGTATTTCTCTGCTGTGGAGTTTTTCAGTAGATCATTTTGACAGGTCTCTTCAATGAACTCTGGAAGGGGTCCTTCTAGTGGGATGTATGAATGAACTAGGAGCTTCGGTTCTTTTTCCACAGCGTGACTTTTCCTGGATATGGCAAGACAGTATCTGTTTCCTTGACAATTATGTGAAAAACCACTCACGTATATTTCTCTCCCATAATCTTGAGCATTTTTTGTTTCTACGGACTGCCAAGGTATAAACTTTTTGCATTTAAAGTTCCTGAGACTTTTACCTTCAAACTTCATTTCATAGTTCCCGTATCTTGGTACTTGTGTAGAGAGTATTAACCATTCTTGACAATAGGAAAGGTCTTTCAGCATTAAGTCCTTGGCATGTACCTCCTGAACAGTTTCCACATTGTTCTGATTTTCACATAACTGAGTGCTTACGTTCTTCCATCCTTGCCAACAGGAAACACTGTCATATCCTAAATATCTAAATCTTTCTTCTTGGGGTTTGTGGCTCTCATTCCACTTTCCTAGAAGAATAAGCACAGAGAATCCTGTTGTGAGTTGTACGTTGTGTTTCAAACTTTCCAAATCATCAATGACCTCTAGAATTATAGGAAGAACTTAACATTTTATTTAATCTGGAAATAATATGCATTATTTGTCCTTCATTATTTCTTTATTCTCTATGTCTGACAGTAAGATAACTAGCATGTAGGCTCTATTGCAATAAAAAAATTAAATCCAATTGTATCATGCTCCAGTTCTTTTGGTGGGCTATCAAAAACAGAAAAGAATGGAAACGGACCCCCAAAGATTCATACGTTCAATGAAGACAGGAGTAATATAATTTATCTTTGTATTGCCACATATCAAGGCATTGCAACAATCCTTGCTGAATGGAAAAATGCATTGGAAAATCAGCAATTATAAAATATTAACTATCATAAGAACTGATTTAAAAGGACAAGAATAGGTATTCTGACCACATGTGGAAGTGGAAAAGAAGGGTTATGACTGGTTGCACCATTTGGGTTTAATATTAATTTTTTGCTTGTTTATTTATTTATGCATTTATTTATTCTACAAACATATCTTAAATACCTACTAGAGTACAGTTGATTGTTTCATGAAAATATCCTTAAAGACTGAAATGTAATTAGTCAATCAGTTTGGGTCATTATAAGAAAGAGAATTATTATTTTTATAAATTTTTGTCTTCTAGAATAGTGTACAACATCTGCATTAGTCTATATCTATATTTTTAGTTGTCTTCTTCCACATGGACACTGGCTATGCAACATTCTTGGTCACTGGAACATCATCAAAAATCTTTTTTTTTTTTTAAACATTTTATTAGGGGCTCATACAACTGTTGTCACAATCCATACACACATCAATTGTGTAAAGCGCATTTGTACATCATTCTCAAAACATTTTCTCTCCACTTAAACCCCTGACATTAGGTCCTCATCTTTCCCCTCCCTCCCTCATGAGCCCTTGATAGTTTATAAATTGCTATTTTGTCATATCTTGCCCTGTCCGACGTCTCCCTTCACCCACTTCTCGGCTGTCTTCCCCCAGGGAGGAGGTCACATATAGTTCCTTGTAATCGGTTCCCTCTTTCCTACCCATTCTCCCTTTTCCCTTCCTGTTTCGCCACTCACACCACTGGTCCTGTAGGGCTCATCTGCCCTGGATTCCCTGGATTTTCCATCAAAAATCTTAAGAGCAGAGACTTGAAAAGTGCTTGCACATTAGGGCTTGCCCTCTCTGTCACTGCTTTTGAAAATCCTGTGATTACTCTGATGTCAATGAGCCCGAACTAGCCTGCTTAAAGAGGGGCAAATGGCCAGCACATCCCCACTAACACCGAGGCAACTGCCATATATATGAATTAAGCATACAGACCTAATCAAGCCATTCCACAATAGAATTATGAAAATAATCAAGTTTGTTGTTCTAAGCCACTGCATTTGGGATAGTTTGTTACACAACAATAGCTAATTTGCACAAATCATGTGAAGAGAAAGTGAATTTAGAACTACACAAATTGACTCTGTCTGGAGATCTGAGCTTAAAGTGTACACCAGAAAACAACTAGAAACAACAAATGAAAGTATCTATTCACTCCAGAGCCCATGTGACTTGGAAAATGTCTTGCTTTATTTGTCATTTAAGATATGTTTTTAGAATATTTCTCTCACCATTCAAAATACAACACCCACACAAAAAAATATTCAACAAAACTGGTTCAAGTAGAAAATTAAGCCAATTTGCTAAGAAGTAGGATAACTACCTACTGACATGACATTTGTGTAGTTCTCCCACATGACCCCTCTGTAGAGATTTTTTTGAGAAAGATTCAAGGATTTCCACTCCTCCCAAGTAAAAATAATAGTTACATCTTCAAATGATATAGCCATCTGGTCAAAAATCAGATTTCCAGAAGGAAGAAATCTAAGTGAGAAGATGGACAAAAACAAAAAAGTACATTTAGCAAGTAATACAAGTCCAAGTAGAAAGAAAAAGAACCAACAAGGAAGAAAATTTAAAGGGTAGAAATAACAATACTCAAACAAATGAATACCTATATTCAAATATCTGTTAACCACTGGGTAAGTGCTTCTCATGCACGATTTCAATTAACATACCCATCCTATGTTGTATGTACTATTATTGTTCCCATCTTATTAATTCATAAACAATGATGGAAAAAGATTAAGTAAATTCCCAAAACTACAGAGCTAGAAGATAGCAGATGAGATATGGATCCAGGTGTGCATACTTCAGACCAGAACTCCCAATTAACAATATTGCTCAATAGTGCCTATATCAGTGTTTCATAATTGAGGCCTTGCTTATTTGTGGTGGTTTTACAATATGTGCACAAAGTATTTGAAAGTACTTCTTAAAGAGAAGGATGTCAAAGTCCTACACCTTGAATGAGGAGTGGACTTGTGACTGACTTCTCCTAAATAAAAAAAAAAATGTTTAAGCAAAATGGGAAGTAGTGTTGTGCAACTCTGGAAACCAGGCCATAAAGGGCACTGCAGCTTCTTCCTTGCTATGCGTGTCTCTTGGACCGTTCTCTTTGGGAGAAGTGAACTGCCATGCCCTGAGGATACTTAGGCAACCCTTTGAAGAGATCAGTGTGGAGAGGAACAGGGGCCTTCTACCCACAGTAAAGGACATGGAGCCTCCTCACAAAAGCTATGTGAGCGAACCAGCTGAAGCAGATCTTCTAACTCCAGCGACCCTTTCAGATGACTGCATCCCTGCTAACAGCTCACCTGGTGCAATAGTATGAAAGACCTGAGTCAGAATCAACTATACAAAATCCCTGATTCCTCTCACTGAACAACCATGGGAAGTAACATGTTTGTTGTATAAGCTGCTAAATTTGGAGGGAATTTGTTCAGCAACAGTGTAACCAATATACTCATTTGTAAAAGTTGCCTAGTACTTCATTTTATGATGTTCCAAGTTTAGCTGCTTCCATGTACTAATGAACATTAAGGTGGTTTCCAGCCTTTTGACGATCATAAATCAGCAGTAGACAATTCTCTTAAACATGAGGGGACTTCAAAAAATTCATGGAAAGATGGAATTAAAAGACAATAGAGTTTTCCCATGAACTTTTTGGAATCTCCCTCATATAGATCTGAACACTCACTTCTAATATTTTTACAAGTTTCTAGAAATTCTCAGCCATGTACATTTTAACTTACTGATAAACACATCAAACCAGCCACACCGAAATACTTTTAAAAATATGTTTCACTCATTTTTCTTCACTTGAAAATATGAAAACAGGGAATCTAGATACAAAATTCACAGGTATAATAACTATAAAAATAGATAAAAATAAAATAACTATAAGATTTAACGTATAGCAGAATCACTGCTTTTAGAAAGAGATATGCCTTAAACCATGAATGCTAAAAGATTAAAAATTAAAGGGCAGGCTAAGTTATAACAAAAACCTATTACAAAAATTAAATCCAAAGGAAAAGTCTTATATTGGATAAGCAGTCATTATGTTTTATGAGAGATAAAATAACAAGCCTTCTTATAGCACTACCCAAAGCTGATTATGATTTGATATGACTACTTCAAGATTATAAACATAAGCATGGAAAATTTCAAATATTTACCAGAGTAAAAAGAAACTATGAAATCCCACATTATTATTTACCTCCAACTTCAATTTTTCCTCTATGGTTTCCATTTAATACATATATTTCTATCAATAGTCTAAATATTATAAACGGACATACTTACCTATTTTTTAACAAACAAATTAAGAATATAAACAAATCCAGGGAACACTGAAAAGACATGATAAGATGATCAAACATCTTCATAATGTTTATTGTTATTATAAAATAAAACCCCTTAGAAACAAAAAAAAAAGAGAGAGAGCACATCTTGACTCGACAGCAGCGAGAGGGACAGGGATCTACCCGTAACCATAATTTCTGACATGCAAACATGACGAGGGGAGAATGAGAAAAGGGACATAGGAGTATATTAAATAACTCGTTTTATTAGGCTGGTAGTTAGGTGCCTCACGGTCAGAGACGGAGTTAAACTTTCAACCCATGGGGAGATTTTAAACACCTTGAGGCTGAAGCTTATTGGCAGAGTGGGGTAATCAGGCACTTACTGGAGGAACTAAAGAGCTTTGTAACACTTGATCATGACAGGCAATGGTCAGAACCAAGTGTGAGGGCCGAGAGAGAAGGCCTCTTCTGAGTAGACTTGTCCCCAGGGAATCAAGAGGAGCCTGAGGGCCTGAGAAGAGGTTTGCATAGCCGAAAGGAACTGAAAAATCTGCACCGATAGGCTTCCTGATCCTGATCCCAAGTTGTAGCCTGCTACTTCCTAAAAAACTCCCTAACTGTGAATATGGTCTGTGGGTTCTGTGGGCCATTGTAAGAAATTATCAAACTTAGCACAGAAGAGCAGAGTGCCATAGGAGGGAGCGCTAGGGTCAGAATCGGTAAAAACATACGGAAAGAAGTATGTCTGACTTCCCGCTTACAGGATCAGCCCTGGGTTATGCTGTTGATAACCCCCGCCCCCAATCCTGAAGTCGGATGAGCTCTGGGGCTGCCACAGCAGTTTGTATACGTCCCCTCACAAGTCACACAGCATCCCTGCTGCACTCACTCCACTGACGGAAGCAATCACACATCCCATTCATGTGTAGAGAATGGGAAACAGACTACACCTTTTGGTGGGAAGAGTCAGTCACGTTATAAAAATAGAAAGGATAGGATCAATTAAAAGGGTAGTTATTGTTGGAAAAATCAATCTGCTATAATACCAAAGCATATAATAGCATGGTGAAGTGGTGGATTATTCCAGAAGTAAAAGAAGAGTCAAAATGGGAAATAAAAATAAGTATTTATATAAATATAAAATATATCATTGAAAATATAATTCAAATGTAATTATTATATCATGAAATATAATTATTTTAATTTATGTTTAAAAGTCAACATGTACCTTTCACTTAAAACTATAAGCAATGTAATTTAGCAAAATGAGGATAAAGACATGCAAACAACAGCATCCTTGTTAAACTAGAAATTTAATTGTAAATTCACTCTTTAAAATCACTGATTTTAACTAATTAATTAATTAAAACCACTAATTTGAGAGCACTTGCAAATGTAGTTACACAAAACTATCTGTAGGGGGTCATGACTGCATATATAAGAAGCTCAAGAAAAGAAAAGAAAAACGATTAGTAACTATGACCAATATCCAGGAATTCTACTACAATATCCAGGAATTCCACTACAATATCCAAGAATTCCACTGCAATATCCAGGAATTCCACTACAATATCCAGGAATTCCACTACTAGGTTTGTAACCTAGAAAAACATACACAAGTATACTAGTATATTAGATGATGTGCACAAAACGTTTAGAGCATAACTGCTACAAAAACTTATCCTTCTTCCATGAATTTTCCTGTTTTTATAAAAAAGCATTTGAAGATCAGTTTGTTAGTTTTCCCATCGTCCAACACCTTCCACCAAAATTCTGTTAATAGCTTAAGAACTTACTGAAACCATAGTTAAACTTAGAGAACACAATTATATGTATTTCCTTTATCTACAGTAGAGCAGTTCCTATTATTCAAGTCCTCCCAATAAAATTTTGAAATGATTTTTATGTCAATTCTAAGTACTTTAGATAAGTTTTTAAGGTATTTTTATTGCTACTGTAAATGTAAGTTGAGATATTTTGCAATGATTATTTTTATGCTTGACCTCTAAATTACTTCATTGAATTTCAAATATTAACAAATTTTTGTAGTACAGACAAGCAAATGAACATATGAGAACATAAATGTACAATTTTAAAACTTAATAATATGGACATGCATATACAGACCAATGAATATTTTTTTATCCCCTCACTGAGTTCTAAAGAAAAGCCAAATTCCTTCTCATTGCCCATTAAATGCATTACTTATTATAAGGCAAAACAATAGAAATATTTGGGCACCAGTATAAAATTTGAGAATTAGGTCTATGAAAAAGATACTAAAAAGTCACCTGGACACACATATGTATGTATGTATGTGTGTGTGCATTAATAATTTAGTAATTTAGTATATGAAAAGGTAGCATATCATCAAAGGAAAAATTAAACATTTCTAAGAAAACATTTAAGTTCTCTTGTATTTTATAACACTAAAACATTTCTGATAATTCTAAGTTAAAAATCTAAAATACTTTGAACTATAAAAAATATTGAAATGCAATGAAAGTAATTATGCATTAGATTTGAGGATGAAGAAAAGTTTTCAAAGCATAAAACCATATACATAAAAAAAGCTCACCTGATACAAAATTAAGTGTATAGAAACAAAGAAGTCCTTAGAAGTATAATGATAAAAGAGAAATATTTATAGTATATATAACAATGACATATGTTTTATATATTCAAAGAGTACCTAATATCAAATGGACATAAAAATCCAGTAGGAAAAATAGGTTTTGTCAAGAGGCAATTCATCAAACAAAAAATGTGAAAGATCAAGGGGGAACCGATTACAAGGATCTACAGATAACCTCCTCCCTGGGGGATGGACAACAGAAAAGTGGGTGAAGGGAGACGTCGGGCAGTGTAAGATATGACAAAATAATAATTTATACATTATCAAGGGTTCATGAGGGAGGGGGGGGTGCAAGAAAAGAGGGGGGGAAACGAGCTGATGCCAGGGGCTTATGTGGAGAGCAAATGTTTTAAGAATGATAAGGCAACAAAGGTACAAATGTGCTCGACACAATTGATGTGTGTATGGATTGTGATAAGAGTTGTATGAGCCCCTAATAAAATGATTTTAAAAAAGTTTTTAAAAAATACATATATACTTTGACTCTTCCATCCTATTTCTCAGAGTATAGCTTGAGGAAACAAAGGGATTGAGTTAATGACTTACGCATTAGACATTTACTACAAATATTAGGAGCCTTGGTGGCATAATTGTTACACATTGGTTGGGCTATTAACTGCAAGGTCAGCAGTTCAAAACCAGTAATAGCTCCGAAGGGCAGACAAGGTCTTCTAGTCCCATAAAGAGTTACAGTGATCATTGGGGTTTACATCCTCACTTTTAAATTTAAACAACTGAAACAAACCTAAGTATGTGTTTATTACATAATGATGATGTAAAAATGTGGAATTATCTCTCCTTGAACATTTTCTCTGTATCCTTTTATATCTGTGAATCACTCAAGATGAAGTTATTAAAATCTAATAAAAATCAGACCTTTCATTGAATTACACTAAAAAACCACAACATGAGTTACAGTCTTGGAAACCCACAGGGGCAGCTCTTCCCTGTCCTTTAGGGTCTACTCAATGGCAGTAAGTTCATTTTTGTCTTATGAGTTTGCTTGTATTAGCAAAATACCCTATTAGAAATTAATTAACTTTTCTCCAACAAAAGAAAATTTAAATCCAGCATAGGATATACCTAGAATGGAACATCATGTGGTCACCAAAACTTGTACTACGAAAAATACTTGGGAAATTCTCATTATATAATAAATGAAAAAATTATATACGGATAACGGCCATTGACTCACTGACGAAATACTTAATGCAGCTATATGCCAAACATGGTCTTATATATTGGGAACCTGAATGTCCTACCCTCAAGGAGTCTACTGTTAAACTGCATTTTCCATTTGTTCACATTGCTACTCCCCACTAATCCCCACTGCACATGGAGACTTCAGGGCCACTTTATAATGACAATCTTACTCACCTGGAATCAGACTTCCAGGGAAGCAGTAGACATTCCTTCCTTCTTCATGCTGTTGTCTGGGAGAGCGGAGAACTGAGAAGGCTGAGCTGGGAGAGAATGAAGGAATGAATGAAAAGTCAAGCCTCGAGCTTCCCAAACTCATTACAATCTCCCCAAATCTTCTAGATATAGATTAGAATATCCCAGTTCCATTTCAGAGGTCAGGAAAGAAGAGCTGTGAGCATCAATATCTGGAAGCTCATTGCTCACGCCCTAGAAAATGGCACAAACAGTTCAATTTCCAACGGCTAATGAAAGGTTCAAGATTTAAACCCAGAGACGGATGGAAGACAAACGTGTCAACCTCCTTCCACAAAATCACAGCCTTGAAAACTCCCCGGGGCAGTGTTACTCTGCACACATGGGATCACCATGAGTTGGCAATGACTCGATGGCAATTAAGAAAATCAACCGAAATTTCAAAGGATACAACTATAGTGTGGTCAGGAGCACATGGATTTTGGTTTAATAATTTTGTCCCTTAGGGATGTGTATGTTCGCTATGTAATTCAACGCCTCTGAACTGCAAGATGGCCGTGGATTACTAGTAAAAATGGGAACAAAAAAATAATAGAGATAACAGCAAGACACAAACAGGCCGTTTCAAGGCTTAAAATACTTACTTGCTCAATTTCAGTAGCAAAAAAGAATCCCGTGTGTTGTAAAAAATACCGGATTTACTGGAGTCTGTAAGAAAGATCCCAGATCTTGAGGCATTCCGAACCGGATTACTGTACCAGCCTTGCCACCCACCACTTGTAGAACACGCAATACCAGATTTCGAGACTTAACAGGGCCTCAGTTTCTCCACCAGTAAAACGGGGACATGAGCCTTCGTTAGTCTGAGTACTTCCTTACTAATTACAAACTCCTGGGGGCAATGTCAGGTAATTAATAGGTGAAGGGCCCTCCTTCTCCACAGAGAGAAATGGGGGTGCATGTGTGTCCCGAGAGGAGGCCAGGTTTAGTTTCTTGCAGCGCACCCTTAGCTCCCCTCCACTCAACATTGGACGGACAAATCATCCTGGAGAAGTGGCCTCTGCTGCTCTCCGTGGGGTCACCAATTGGTCCGGGTTCGGGTCGTGCAGACCCGCGCGGCCCCGAGTCCGCATCCACACCCGGCCGGAGCTCCGCCTCCACACCTCCCACATCCCAGCATCCTGGTCCCGGGCCCGAGGCTGCTCGGCCCCAGCGCTGGGAGAAGGGCTGCGAGGACCCACCTCGACCGCGGGACCCGGGATAATTCTAAGCCAAGCCGCTTCTCCGTGCCCGGCCCGCCCTTTCCGGACGCGCTCGCTGCTGCCACAGCTTTCCCCGCCCGAGTCCACCTCGGCCTCGGCCTCCCGGAGCCACGTCACTCACGGCACCAGAGCCCCATCCAGACACGGGGCTCCCACAAACAATGGCGGCGATCTGCCGGCTCCCAAACGGAAGTGGCCGGCCTCGGAGTGGACCAGCGGAGCGTTTCCAAGGAGACGAGAGCAGCCGGCGGCGAAGGAACGCGCGCGCGGGGAGAGCGCGGCTTCTGATTGGTCAGCAAAGTCGGCGCCCTGTGCGTCCTGGAGGGGCTGCCGCTGCCTTCTGCGGGACTGAGGATGTGAGCGGCCGCCCTGATGCTACCTCCAAAGAACTGTAGCTGCTTTGGGGGGCTCCAGCAAAGGGGCGGGGAAGAGAAGGAGCGACCGTGCCTGAAGATGTTAAGGATCGGGCTGCTAACCAGAAGGTGGGAAACGACTAGTCGCTCTGCCAGAGAGAGGGGGGGCTTGAGAGTTAGTCTCTGAAACCCACCGGGGGCTGTTCTAACCTGCGCTTCAGCGTCGCTGTAAGTCAGAATCAACTCGAAAACACTGTTTTGTTTTGTTTCACAGCACACCAGTGCGGAACGACGCTTATGCATAATAAGTTTTCCCACAACTTCGTCCTCCGAAGTGGGGAGCCAGATGATTCCTTCTTCCTTTTCCGTTCTTGGTTTGAAAGTTCAACCGAAATCTCTTCATTTTGGGTGACCCTGCTGGCATTTGAAATGCCAGTTATATAGCTTCCAGCACCACCTCAACACACAAGCTGCCAGAGTATGACAAACTGACACGCAAGTGATGCACTGAAGGTATTAGCCAAAAATAAGGCTTCAGGAATTGATGGAATAACAATCGAAATATTTCAAGAAGCCTATGAAGCACTGGAAGCGCTCACCTGTCTATGCCAGGAAATATGGAAGACAATTGCTGGGCCAACTGACTGGTAGAAATCCATATTTGTACCCATTCCAAAGAATAGTGACCCAAGAGAATGTTCAAATTACAGAACAATATCTTACAAATAAATTTTTGCTGAAGACCATCCAACAGCGATTGTAGCTGTACATTGACAGGGAAGCTGCCAGAAGTTCAGGCTGGATTCAGAAGAGGATGTGGAATAAGGGATGTCATTGCTGATGTCAGATGGATCTTGGCTCAAAGCAGAGAATACCAGCAAGAGGTTTACTTGTGTTTTATCAATTATGCCAAAGCATTTCACTGTGTGGATTATAACCAACAAATAACCTTGAAAAGAATGGAAATTCCAGAACACTTAATTTTGTTCATTTGGAACTTGCTCATGGATCAAGAGGCAGTTGTGCAAACAGAACTACATAGTTTAAGATCAGGAAAGATGTGCATCAGGGTTAGAACCTCTCACCATACATACTTGATCTGTATGCTGTGCAAATCATCAGAGAAGTTGAATTATATGAAAAATAACCAGACATCATGATTGGAGCAAGGCTTAATAACCTGTGATATGCAGATGACATAACCTTGCTTGCTGAAAGTGAAGAGGATTTGAAACACTTGCTGATGAAGATCAAGGATTGTAGCCATAATTACAACTCAATGCCAAGAAGACCAAAATCCTCACAACTAGATCAATAGGTAACATCATGATAAATGGGAAAAAAGATTGAAGTTGTCAAGGATTTTATCTTACACTTGGGTCCAAAATCAATACTCAGGGAAGTAGCAGTCAAGAGATCAAAAGATGTGTTTCATTAGGTAATCTGCTGTCCGAGACCTATTTAGAGTATTGAGAATCAAGGATGTTACTTTGAGGACTAAGGTGCTCCTTACCCAAACCATAGTGTTTTCGATTTGGCTCCTATGCATGTGAAGTTGGACATGAAATAAGACTAAAGAAGAATCTATGCAATTGAATCGTGGTGCTGGAAAAGAATATTGAAAGTACCATGGATTGCTAAAAGGACAAAGGATTCTGTCTTGGAAGAAGTACACCAGAGTGCTCCTTAGAGACAAGGATGGTGAGACTTCACCTTACACACTTTGGACATGTTTTTAGGAGAGAAGTCCCTGGACAAGGATATCATGCTTTGTAAAGTGTGTGTGTGTGTGTGTGGGGGGGGGGGGCAGCAAAAAAGAGGAAGGATCTAAACAAAATGGATTGTCACAGTGACTGCAACAATGGGCTCAATCATAAGAACAATTTGAGGATAACAAAACCGCTAGTTTTATTCTGTTGTGCATAGGGTTGAACATGGGTCAGAACCAACTATGGCAGCTAACAACAACAATGTGGAAGGTGAATCCGAGGAACAGTTAGCTGGGAGGTGTGGTTGTGCCCTACAACATGCTGCTTTGCAGAACAGCCCTCTGTTAACTCTGGTCCCAGCATGTCTCTGAGGTCGAGGTTGGAGTTAGGCAATCACAGAGAGGACTTTTCAAGTTTTAGCTTATTGTTATGGAGCCTCAATGGCATAGTGGTTATGCGGTGGGCTGCTGACATTGAGGTTAGCAGTTTGAAGCCATCAGCCATTCCGCAGGAGAAAGAAGAGGCTTTCTACTCTTGTAAAGAGCTGCAGTCTTCGGGGACCCACAAGAGCATTTCTACTCTGTCATATAGGGTTGCCGTGAGTCAGAATTGACTCCATGACAGTGAGTTTGGCTGCTGCTGTTGTTGTTGGGGGTTGATGGGGGGTAATTATCTGATTGTTGCCTGGGACCCATTTCTTCAAACATGCTGGTGGGATCCGGCTTTCTTATCCCAGCCAAGTCAGGCAAGGTAGGACTGAGGTGGAGCCCTGGGGATGAGCCCTTTCTCAATGTCCTGGGACCAGCAGAAAATGTGTGTTATCCAAGAACATGTTTTTCATGTCGCTGAATCCTTGAATGGCAAGATTTTGTCTCATATACTTTGGACATGTTATTATGAATGACCAGTCCCTGGAGAAGGACATCATGCTTGGTAAAATGGAGGGTCAGCTAAACTGTGAAAGACTCTCAATAAGGTAGATAGACACAGTGGCTCAGTGGCTGCAACAACTAGCTCAACTATGAACAATTGTGCAGGTGGCACAGGACTGGGCAGTTTGTTCTGTTGTACATGGGGTTGCTCTGAGTCAGTGAACAACATGGCACCCAACAACAAATTTAGATACTTGAGCTGGATCGGTGGCATTCAAATATTTTATTAGACTAGGAACCTTTGTTGGGTAAATGTTCGACTGCTAACTGCAAGGTTGGCTGTTCAAACCCACCAGCCTAACTGTGGGAGAAAGCTGAAGCTATCTGCCCTGGTAAAGATGTACAGCCTGCTATTGAGGCAGTTGGTCTTACAGGGTTTTGATTCTGTCATATTACAAAGTAAAACCAAGGCATGCAAACCACATGGACAAGCAGATGGAGCTGGGCTCCTACTTAACTCTAACTCCAATTCAAGAACAGTTAGTTCTTATAACATGGCCCTACTTGATACTCACCTTCATGAAAAGATCACTGAAGCTGATGAGGGTGTTACAGCAAAGTGTGGTGGAAAAAGTAGATGGTGCCCGGCTATCAATCAGAATAGTGTCTGGGTCTTAAAGGCTTGTATTCAAACAAGCAGCCATCTAAGCAAGGAGTCAACTAAGTCCACGTGGAAGAAGCACAGCAGCTTGTGTGATTCAAAGATGACAGTTACAAAATTCAAATATGGTGAAGGGAAATTGTATCATAGCTACAATTATGAACACAGAATTTGTAGAAGGCTAGGGAGAACAGTGGGATCCCAAAATCCATCTGCAGAGGATCTAGTCAGACTGCTACTGGCAGATCTGTTCTAGGCACAGGCAAGAGTCTCAAGCAAGATTATTTTCAGGCAGGGACCATTGTAATCTTGATTATGCTAGATTGAAGTCGATACTTGGCCAGTTGACCTCCCTATAGACCCGACCTGAATTGATTCTGGGTGCAAGTATCTCTTACTTGTTTAATGACAGAAATTCCTTCTCTGGCTTTTTGAATGTTGATGGGGTCTTTTCTTTCTGACTCATTTTTTGTATTTTTCCCTTTATTTTATTATTTTATCCTTACCACCTTAGTTCAGTTTTGTTTTTTATTGATTTTTCTGGGTTTCCCAGTTTGCGAAGTACAGGAGGAGAGGATGCATAGTGATAATAACTGATACAAGAGTTTATAGGGGATGCAGGGCAGGGAGAGTGGGTGTAGGCAGGGAAAGAGGACTCTGGGAGTAAATAATGCAGGTGGGAGTGGGGAGGGAACACTAAAACTGACTGATTGTACAACTAATTTTAAAGGTGATTTTACCATGGAGGATGTCTTCTAAAATTGATAAGGTAATGGTTGTACAATTCACTTTCATGATTGAACTATTGAATTATATATGTAAATTATGTGCCAATAAAACTGTTGTGAATTTTTTAAAAATTACAGCCTAGGAAGTGCTATATAGGGGTCTCTGAGTCCAAAATGAAGACAGTGGGTAGAAACCTTTGGAGGAAAACATGGAACTGGAGGAAAGGGGAACTGAACGCAGTGATCGATACATAACCACCCACACCCCATCCAGGGAGACCAACAACAGAAACTATGGGGGAAGAGAGACAACGGTCGGTGTGAGATATAAAAATAACAATTTATAATTTATCAACAGGTCACAAAGGGATGGGGAGAGGAGCTGATACTAAGGGCTCAATAGAAAGTAAATGTCTAGAAAAGAATGATGGCTACATATGTACAAATATGCTTGATACAATTGATGTATGGATTCTTAAAAGAGTTGTAAGAGCCCCCAATAAAATGATCTTTTAATTTTTAAAAAATGGTACTCTTGTATTGAAGCCTGGCTTCCCCACGCTTACTCTGGCGTGCTCTTGGCTATATTACTTAAACTTTCTGTGTTTGCTTCCCCATCTTTAAAATAGGCGCACTCATAGTAACTGTTTAGCAGGAGTGGTTTTAGGACTAAATGAACTAATATAACGAAAATGCTTCATGTAGACCTTATCAAAACCAGACCAGTGAGTGGGTTCCAACTCATAGCAGCCCTATAAAAGGGTTTCCAAGTGTACAGGAGCAGATGGTGCCATTTTTGCCAGC